GGCTCGGCAATGTATCCCCTTCATCTAGAGGAGTGCTTGGCACATAGTAGGCTGACATAAACAAAACCATCTGGGAAATGTTTTCTCCCCTAGGTTCTTGCCAGATGTATGGTTGCTGAGGGAAAAATCATGACAAAACTGTGTCTTTACAAATGACAAAAAATCAGGCTAAAGGGAGGAATTTGTTGAAAGCAGTTCTGTTTTAGAAACTAGTCCTTGGAGTCTCATCACCAGACAGAGTCTTATGAAAATCAAACAAAAGGGATAGAAAAGATAAAAGCTAACTTTTTCCTAGGTGCTCACTATGTGCCAAGAACTGTTCTAAGTGTTCTACATAGATTATCTCATTTAATCCTCATAATAACCCAATGATGTCAATTCAAATTAGCTCCATTTTACAGATGAGAGGATTGAGTCTCTGAGATGTTAAGTGCCCAACGTCACACAGCTAGTGTGAAGCCAAACCAAAAGTGAAACTCCTGACAGTCAGGGTCTGAGTCAGCAAATGAAATTATCTCTGCCCCCGACAGCCTCTATGCTCTCCTGCAGCCCCTGTACATACTTCTGCTGCAGCACAGATCATGCTGCAGTGCAGGGCTTATTTACTCACCTAGCCTTTTCACTGCCTCAGGAGTTTCTCAAGTGTGAGGACCTGGCCTTCATTTTTGCTTCTCTTGTGCCTAGAATAGAGCTTGTTCCAGAAGAGGCACCAATCAGCATTCGTCAAGTGAATGAATGAGTGTGGGAGTGAGCGAATCCATGTTCTTTTGTTTTTTCAGGCTTCAGGCTTATGGGCTCTTGTTTACCTCCTCAGTTTATATTAAAACATAACACAGGGACAAGAGCATTTTGGTGCAAGAGGTCCCTCTTGCCACAAGATACAAGGGGAACCAGCTCTGACTGGGAAAGCTGAGTCAGTGTCTATTGAGCAAGGTGCTTGATTCGAAGGATTTCATTTTATTGTTCATCTAAAAAGTACCTGGACCTGTTTAAGACTTAAACAAACCTTCAGTGTTCAAATCCCATCTTAAATACTTTCCAAAATGAGGCAGGGTGTGGAGTAGGAGGAAGGGGGAGTTATAAATAAACAAATACCCACAAACCAGCTGGTTTTTTAAACAGAATTCACTTCAATCTCCACTGTGCCACATTTTCCCAACTGGCTTCCATCCTGAGAACAAGTGGGAACTTTCATAATGAATGGTTTTATTTTTTCCCCCAGACTAGATGAATGGCAGGAGTTGTGGCTTGGGAGGCAGGTTTCAAATCCTCAGCACACAGTTTGTTGCCCTACTGTGCCCCATCCATCACACACAATGTCCTGCACAACATACCCAGTCATCACATCTGCTACATCAGCCCTCCAAAATAATTGGGTCATTGTTTTATTATACCAATGAAGGAGCTGAGAGCCTGTTAGGATTATGTCATTGACATTTGCATGAAAAGGCAATCATGATATGCTGGTCACTTAACACAGCTAGGAATGCAACTGTGTTGTCATTGTCTCAGGTTCTTATCCAAACTCTGACTCAGTTTCGCAGCCCAACCAGTAAAAATGGGTCAGTTTAATGTATGTCACCTTTGAAGTGTTTTCTAACCCTTCAAAGAATCAAGTTGGGTCTCTTTTCATGCACTTAGACTTTTCAGCTTGTAGGCAAAGCAGTCTGAAGGTGAGAGATGAGATGCTTGCTGTCATGCTTGTAGGAGTTGTACACTCTAGTAGTAGGATGCTGTAATACGCTGCCTTTTGTTCATTAACTGCTGATGAGAGTCAAGGAAAGTTTGAGCTCAGAAACAAATGAGGGCTAATGTTGTTTGTGGGGGAAGGCTATTTCGATAATTTATTAACCAGAGTTCTGTTGTGACCTCTATCATATATTAGTTTCAGTAGGGCCTGTGCCTTAATTGTAGTTGTCAGTATGCTTAAGCATGGGTCTCTGATAATGAGATTCAAGCACATTTGATTTTCAACAGGTATTAATGATGGAAGAACATCTTAGTTCCAAACAAGGAAATTATTGCCATTGATTGTAGAAGTATAAACAGAGAAATTCATGTGTTAATTTTTCGAGTGCAACTCATTGATCCTCTTCTCCCACTTACTATGTTAACTGGAGTTTTATGGCATATGGCCATTAGTGTACTCTTCAAAGGAATCTATTGCAGATACTTGTCCATCCCTCTTCTAGTTTCAGTCTTTCCCAAACCAGCCCTTACCAGTCACTTCGAGGTATGACAGGCAGAGCTGGCCCAATGAGGGTGTCAGCTAAAGAGGTTGAGTGGTTTAGATGCAAATCTCCTAATCCTAATTGCCATGACTATAAAAAACTCAGGTTCTTGAATTTTGCTTGGCAACTGATTCCAACTGCTTTGCTTTCTGGGCACTTTAGTATTTGTGCTGTTTCATGTTCCTACTCTTGATCTGTCTTTTCCTTATGGCTGCATTTCCCTTTCTGTAAAGCGGGGCTCTTGCTGGGACCAAATGAGAGAATGTACCCTGACTTGTCATAGTGCCTGACAGAGAGTAAGTGCTTAACAAATGATAGTTGTTGTCTCCTATTTCCAGTTCAGGTTTCTTTGGGTTCTGTTCTATGCACCTCCAGTATTGTTCCTGGACCAGGACCTCTTCCCCTTACTGGCAAGCCAGGTCTTCTACCCTTCAAATAATCTGGGCTCCCTTCTCTGAGAGCCTCTGGTGTCCTTATCTATCACCATGTGGCACTCACTGTAACCATAGGCAGACCTCTGCCAGCTGCTAACATTAGCCTATTGAATTCTGGCAGGGAAAAATAAGTTTGTAGACAGGAATTTGCATGTCTGGGCCAGATACAAGACCAGGAGGAAAAGGCATATTTACCTGCCCTTCCTAATTGTGAGCAAATCACCCATTCTGGTTAAAACCAGATGTTTTACAGCCACGACCGCAATGCCACACATCAAACAACTGCTTACAGGGGATAGAGTGGTTTTCACATCAGAAATGTAACCTGTGTGACACTCCTCAAATTTCTTAAAAGCAACTACCACACCTAGGTACTATTCCCTTGAAAATAACCACCTTATTGGGTGTCTTATGGGGATTTTAATTTGGAAGCCCTTGGAGCACTTATATGCTCTTTCCAAGGGGGTCTCTGGCTCCTTTAATTTTCAGGGAGTTAAAACATTGGAGAAAATAAGAGATCTTCTCCAAACTCACCTGCTTTTTGAAAATGCTTTTTAATTTCTTGGCAAGCAGCCAATCCAAACACTAAAAAAGAGTCAGAGAACACAGGAATCCTGAATGCTATTCTCTGTGCATGTCCAAACAAGAATGGGGAGGAGGACAACAGAAAGAGGAGAAAATGCAGTTTTTGCATCTTAGGCTGGGAAATCTCACCTCCTCAAGTTTGGTCTCCTCGCCATTCATACAGAGGAAGGAAGATATGTGGTGACTTTGTGACAGTAGACTTCCCTGCCAGGGTCAACTGTTCAGCCTAGAGGTTCTCCAGTCTGGTGGGCCACCCCAGTCCAGTGGAGTCACTACAATGGTCAGTTCTCAACTGCTTTGACTTGGATTTTCTATTTTGGGTTCATTGGTTATTGGTGCACTTGCTTCTATTTGGGAGGAGGTGACATGATTGACTATTCCATATGATTTGTCCTTTTCAACACTTAATCACATTCTGAGGGAATCTCTGAGCTCTAGCAACCATTTCGCTATGTCAGGAAACAGTGGCTTCTTTCTGTGTATTCACTGAGAATGGTTTCTGATAACTTTAATTTTCTAGTTTCCAATACCAGGTATTAGACAGTAAGAGACAGATGATTTCACTAGCCCTTATTGGGAGTTACTTCTTCTTCCTTCCAATCTCATGCAGGTGCTAAAGAGTGCCCAGAGTATTTTTCATGCCATTTTATTGATGATACACATTTATTAATTCATAACATAGCTCTTTTTGGGTCCTTATTATATGTAATGAACTATGCTATTGTGTGCTTTACGTACCACTTCTTATTTGATCCTCACCACAAAGCTGTGAGGCAGGTACTGACATTTTCTTAATTTTATATATGAGGAGACTGAGACTCAGGGAGCTTAATGCAAGATCACACAATCAATATGTAGGGAGCACAGATTCACACCCAGGTTCAACTACACTCTACTTCCTCCACATAGCTTATTTTTGGCCCCTCACAATCTTTAAGAACAAAATTAAACCTTAGGGAAATTCTACTCCACTTTTTGCTAGCATAGTAGTGCCCCCTTATCCATAGTTTTGCTTTCCATGGATTCAGTTACCTGAGGTCAACCATGGTCTGAAAATACTAAATAAAAAATTCCAGAAGTAAACAATTCATAACTATTAAATTGCACATAGTTCTTAGTGGTATGATGAAATCTTGTGCCATCTCACTATGTGCTCCCTGGGACATGAATCATCCCCTTGTCCAGAATCTCCTTCCTATATACAGGGTGGGGCAAAAGTAGGTTTTCAGTTGTTCATGTGGAAAATAATACAATAATTAATAAATAATAATATAAGAATAAACTGTGTGTTTCACATTCTCACCGCTGTAAACCTACTTTTTTTTTGAAGGCCACTGACTTTATTGATTCAGAAAACTTTACATGGACAGTGACTGTTCTGCCAAAAGAGAAACAAAATGGCATAAAACAGACCAGAGGTGAGGGTGAGGGTGAGGGTGAGGGTGACGGCGAGGGCGAGGGAAGGGGCCAGGAATCCTCTCAGAACAGCTGATAATTATTGACCTGAAACTGGTAGGGGAAGAAGGGAGATGCATGCAAGAACAAGAATTCCAAAAAAGTTGAAATGGTGAGGGGAGAGAACTCCCACAAAGACCCTGGAGGATGCTGGAGGTGAGTATACAGCAATTGTTTCCTTTGTAGAGGCCAAGGGTGGAGCCCCCCACTCAGCTGCAAACTCTGAAGACTCCAAGACCCAGGTTAGGGACTGGGGGCTCCCCAGAGAGCATCACAAGAAGGCGTCGCATCACTCTCAGAGGCACCTGAAGCAGTCCCGGGACTCCTTGGCATTGGCACCACATGTGTCCTTTAGCCATTTGCTGAAGAGGTCTTCATCTTTCTTTAGCACCAGAAACTGGCCAAGGACCACATAGGCCTTGTCAAAGGCCCTTTCCTCCAGCTTCTTGCCCCGGACTTCACCAGTTCCAGCCAGGCTCCCCACTGGCTTTTCCCCCATGAGCTCTGCCACAAAGTCTTGGTGCTTTTGGAAGGTTGTCATCTTGATCAGGATTAACCAACAGCTTCAGCTCCTGTAACGGCTCCTCCCACCACCCGGCTGCTCCCGCTAATACTTCAACCTACTAGAACTTTCTTCCACTTCCCTGTAAACCTACTTTTGCTCACCCTTGTACACTATACACTCCTTAGTCACTTAGTAACCCTCTGGGTATTCAGATGGACTGTCGTGGTATCGCAGGGCTTGTATTCAGGTAACCCTTATTTTACTTAATAATGGCCCCAAAGTGCAAGGATAGATTGCTGGCAGTGTGGATATGACAGAGAGAAGCTGTTAATTGTACATATATATAGGAAAAAACATTATATATGTAAAATAGTCTGTCTAGGAAGTATCTATCCACGTAATATGAAAAATAGAGACATTTATTGAAGAAGATACAAGATACATGAAACATTGTACATAGAATAATGATGCCTCAGTCCCCTTCAAAGTAGGCACCTTGGGACCTCACATAGTTCTACTAATTGCCATCAGCTGCCTGTCATATTTTCCTGAGTCTCAATGACAGTTTGAAATCTCTTCCCTTTCAAAGGTGATTTTAGTTTTAGGAAAATCCAGAAGTTGCAGGGAGCCAAACCTGGGCTGTAGAGGGGCTGAGTCACCTGGGATATTTCTTGCTTTGCCAAAATATTCTACATAAGACATGATGCATGAGCAGGTGCATTGTCGTGATGAAGCCGCCCATCACCAGTTGCCCATAGCTGCGGTCTTCTGAATCATACAAATAGTTTCCATGGAGGAATGTTCAAGCGTAATGCAAAATTTGATGCAGATTCATTGCTCTACTTGCTCAGCCATTTTGAATGTGACAGCCACACAGTACACATGCTCACTCAATGGCATCTACCACTCCCACTGCCTAGACAGTGAAGTCATCATTGTTCACACATGCGCATTGCAGTCTACTCACCTTGGCTGCTAGGCTACATTGATGTCTTGCAAACTGTTATTGTTATTTTAACAATGGCTGGACTTTTTCTGGACAGACCTTTTATATACACACACACACACACACACACATATATACATACATACACACACACATATGTACGTGTATGGTTTGGTGCTGTCTGTGGTTTCAGGCATCCACTGGGGGTATTGGAATGTATCCCCCATGGATAAATGGGGGACTACTGTAGGTACTCTTACTACTGCCATTGCTACTATTAGTAGTGCTATTACAATTTATCTAGTGTTGCATTTTTTCACACTACTAGGTACTTTACACCCAGGTACCAATTTTAGAGTTCAAACCCAGGCCTGTATTTGTACAATGCACCCAGTCCTCTTTTCTGTTCTGCTTGTAATGAAAACATAGGAGATGTAAGACATATACAACTCAAGTAGTTTAACTTGCTAGATCAACTGCTAACATTTACCCAATATTTATTGAGCACATATTAGATGAAAAATGTATAGCTCCTGTCCTCAAGTTGCTCGTAAGACCTTCCACGTAGACAGGTATGGGAAGCATAATTTTAAATGTATTAAATTTACCTGACATAATAAACAATCACGGCCTGTAATTAGTATATCAGAATATGTGTAAACATGAGACTATAAAGGGCTTGAAAGAGGCAGGCCTAGTTTAGTAGTGAGAATAAGGACCTAGAAGGCAAAAGCTACAAGGGGTTAATTCTCTGGACTTCTCTTTTCACATATGGGTCCCCAGATTAATAGTCATAGCCGCTATTTATTTAGCACTCACTGTGCAGTAGATATGGCAGTAGGTGGTTTCCACTTAGTCTTAACAACCATTATTCTCCCTTTCTCTTTTCTACAGATGAGGCACAGAGACATTAGGTAATGTACCCTACATCACACAGCTCTTCAGTAGCCTTGTTTCTATCTCCAGAATCCTCTCATGCCACTAACTTTATGAGCCGTCACCCTTACCTCCTGACTAAACCCCAAGTCATGTGTTTTCCACTATGTTGCCTTAAAATTGAAATTAAAATCAAAGACGATCTTATTCAACTGTGCCAAGAGGATAAACATTAGAAATAGCAATTAGTAGGGAGAAATATTGCCAGAAACAGCTATACAAAAGCACAGAAAGACACTCAAGAGAGTTAACAATGATGGGGATGCAACAGGTTTGCATGTTGATGGTTAGTTGTATCCTTGCCAGCCCTTATCTTCTTCCTTCATCTTCCTGCTCTGCAAATTCTCAAGCTTCTCTGGAGAGTACAACATACCTAGAGATAGCCTGACCTGCCACAAGAAGGCACTAGGCCAGGAATGGCAGGCCTAAGGCAGTAGGGCTCTGGGTTGAGAACCATAAAAACTGCTTAAATGAATACCAGCTTTGGCCAAAAGCCTTGTCATTTCTTAAGAGATTCTGTACCTCTTCTATGGACTTAGTTATTTGAGAAAGGGCCAGCAGGGTGCACACAACAATGATAATAATTACAGTTACCCTTTAGTGAGCACTTATTATGGGCCGGGCCCTGCACTAAACACTTAAATAACACTAACTCATTTAACACTCACACAGCCCTATGAGAGCAAATGCTGTTGTTTCCGCATTTCACACAGGAGGCATCAGGCTCAGAGAAGCTAAGTAACTTCCCCAAATGCATACAGCTGGTTGGAGCTGCAATTTGAAACCTGAAGCATCTGGTTCCTGTGCCAGAGCTCTTAATTCCTGTATTTAATAAATGTCTGTTAAAGGAATAAACAGGCAAATGCATGGACAAATGTATGAATTAATTTCCCTTTAATTTAACAAACATTTATTGAGTGCATTGTGTGTTTCAGACTCTGTGGTAGGCATTGAGGATTCAAATGTTCAACATTTAAACACAGGTAGAGCCCCTACGTGGCTCCTGCACATGAGCTCACAAAAGCATTCTCTAATGTGATGTGATTCCTTCTGGGGCAAAGTAATTTGAGTTTCTTGAACAGCAGTTTTTAATGATGCTATTAAATTTAACACAAAGTGGGGGTTATGTACCGGTGAGAAAAGAGTTTCAAATGAGAATGTGTCTTTGATTAATCATTGATTCAGCCAGAGAATAGTTACTACCAGAAATGGAGCTGCAACTCCTATCACATTAGCTAACTCTTTTTCCATCCATCTATCATGTCTGTATCCTGTCGAACCCTCCCATGGTACAAAAATTATCTATTCCCTAATGGACAATTATCCCATCCATCATCCTGCTGGTCCTGCTTATTGCTGGCAGTCTACTTCCCTACGGAGGAAACTTACAAATAGTCACGGCTGATGATGTACTGGCAAATTGCTCATTTTTACACATTTTAAATATATGCAGAATAAATATCTTTTTCAGGCTGCCCTTTAAAATGCTTTTGTTTTCCTGGTAAAATAAGAGCAAATTATGAATTCTTTACCTATATGTGTAATGTGGCCTTTGTGAATATTTCAAAAGCCCTCTAGGCCAGTGGTCCCCAGGGGCACCAGAGACTGGTTTTGTGGAAGACAGTTTTTCCACAGAGCAAGGGGGGTGGTGGGGGGAGACAGGAGGTGGAGATCAGGCAGTAATGGGAACAAGTGAAGCTTTGAAGCTTTGCTCACTGGCCCAGCCACTTACCTCCTGCTCTGTGGCCCAATTCCTAACAGGCCAATGACCAGTACCATCTGTGGCCTGAGGGTTGGGGACCCTTTGCTTTAGGCAGCAGCCCTGTAGATAGTAAAATGATGAATAAATGAATTAAACATACCTGGGGTAATAGCAGAGGGGCAGGCTCTGAACTGGGTCTCTGGTGGCCTGGTCATCAAGTCAGGGTGATCGCAGTCTTCCTTTTACTTTCCAGGTATTTTGAAGAGAATCCCAAGTTCATTAGGGTTGAGATGAGGACTCATGGTGCTGAAAGTAGGGATTGAGTGGACAGAGAGAGATGCCTGTTGAATTCCCTGGAACTATTGCTATGAGATTTAAAGGCAGAAATGCTACCCCCCCAGCCTTGCACCCCCAAGTCTGGTGACACATTAAACTTTTGATTACAGTAAACAACATGCTCAGTAAAACCAGGAGGCACCAGTTGCCCAAGGCAAAAGCCCAAGAGTTGTCTTTCCTACGTCTTTATTTCTCACATCGACATTCAGCCAGTCACTAAGCCCTACCAAGTCTACTTACTGAGTATTCCTCGAATCTGATCCACTTTCTCCATTCCTCCTATGACTGCTTTAGTTTAGCACTGTCTCCAGTCTTCTATTGCCTTGATTCCTTCAATAGCTCCTTGTTTCCTCATCTCTTTTTCCTCCTCTGCTACCCTTCTCCTCAAAGTGGCCTGAGTGATTTTTCTAAGATGCAAATGATATCATTTCACACCCCACCTCCACTTAAGTGTAACTGACTTCACAGTACCTGAGACCAGAGCCTCTCAAAGTGTTTCTCTGGGGCCAGCAGCAACAGCATCTCTGAAAACTTTTCAATTGGGTGCTTTTTAGACACTTACTGAATCAGAAACTCTAATGTGCTCCCCAAATTTGTGTTTAAGAAGTCCTCTAGGTAATGTGGATGAGCACTCCTACCATTTCAGACCACAGTGGTTTCTGCCACATGACCTGATATCTATGGTTATTTTTCTATGTGTGTAGTCATGTCTTTCTACTAAATTCTAAGCTATCTGATGACAGCGACTCTATTGTGTTCGTCTTGGTAGTTTCTATAGATCTAGTACAGTGCTTTGTACTCATCTCATTCTTTGACAGAGTCAGGGAATAAAGGACACAGCCCTGGTCACCAAGTCTGCCAAAAGAAGACCAGACATAGAGAACCTGACTGGAGCCCCTCATTTTGAGCTAGGTAACATTGAAGGGGTCACTTCCTGCTTTGAGTACTAGCTTTGCCACCTATCAAAAGATAATATACTTTCTAATTATTTTCTCTGTTATCTTGTTTATTTTTGCCAATGTTTTCAAAATCTTCCTTTGTTACACCTAAAACTTTAAAAAATATTTTATATCATATAACCTTAGTATCTGAGCCTCTGAGGATCTAATTATTTTTTTGTCATTTCTACCTTTATCATATGCTTTGTAATTTTGGATTATGAGTTCACGTTTAGCCAG